AGAAAAATTTCAATTAAATGTGAGTGGAAAAGTTTAGTGAAAGATTCTCTTCCACCAATGCAAAACATCACATCCGAAATGTATCAAGACGAGGCACAAGTACAGGTAACCCCCCAGAGGCCTCCAAATATGAATTTAAGATACTTATGCCCAGGCCTTAGGGCGGCCTTTTCCTTCCTTCCGTACAAGGGCATACATTACGTTCATATATCCTTTTGGCAGTGCTATGGAAGAACTCCACTCCACTCCACTCCACGCATCCGCCATTTATTATGCAACGGAAATGAGCACAAAGTGTATTCCCGTCTGTGTGTCTCTTACTTACCCTCCTTTATCCGCTTTCTGCGGCGGTTTGCCTCCGCCCCTTGGGTTTGTACGTAGTATATTGTTGCCTGCGGACGCGCTTCGCTTATGTTGAGAATTAAAAGAAACCTAACCCTTCCGCCCAGGCTCTTCTCTGGTCGGCATTTTGCGGAAGTTGCAATGAAATTGCCAACATCCGCCAACAACAGAGAAAACCGGCAACAGCAGCAGCAGCAGCAGCAGCAGCAACAATGTGTGTGGCATGCAACAACAGCACGTGTGCGTATGCCATCCGCATCGAGCCCAGACGAAAGGGTAAGGCGTAACGAGAGCATGCGATGAGTGGGGTGTGCGGAGTGAGAAGTGAGAGAAATGCCTGCATTTGTCAGTCTAGGCAGCCAATATGGCTGCCTGCTCATTTCCTGTGCGCACAGCGGAAGTGATTTGAGGCAGCTTGCAGGCTCGAAATGAATACTTCTTACCTTCCTTAAGCCCAGACCCAGTCTGAGATGATAGACTGCTGCTTCATGAATATTTAGGGGAGCTTGGGCACCAGCTTTTACGGTTACGCCTTAGTGTCAAGGTCAATGTCAGGCTTTTCCACCTGAAAACCATATTTCCAGTTCAACTTGTCATGTGTTTCGGCTTTCCGTCTTTCCGCTCCATCATCTCTAACGAGACTTTACACTTATGGCCCGTTTGTTTCAGCTTTACTTCGTGGAGCTGGTCCATTCGTATTCACCTTCTAATTCCTACCCATCCTATCTCCCCCTCTGCCGCTCTACAACAATGTACAATAGTCAACCCTTTGCATCGACACACAAGTACCTCGATCCGCATTAAACTCTTGCGAGGTCGGTTTGCTGCTGGCAAAGCCAGTCCCAGGGCAACGCTTATTAAAAACCCAGCCCAAGTCGCGAGCAATCATCCATTCAGTCAGCCAGCCAGTCAGCAGCGGATATCAGAGATATTTTGCTCCAACTGCAGCGGAAAGCGGAACATATGCACTGGAGATGGCAGAGATGGAAAAGTGGAAATAAATATATGGGGAAATGCCAAGTGAAATGCAAATTTGACTTTGATTCTTTTTCGCTGACGCACAGGAGCAACTTTGTGACTGGAACTCATATTTGGAATGGCGTTTTGCTTGCTGCTCAAAGTGTAGGATCCGCAGGACGAAGGCTGAAGGCTGAAAGATGAAGAGGTAGGTGCTTCCTTTAACCCTGGCATTTACCTGCTGCTTGCCAATGCAAATATTAGACAATTTTTCATTTGCATAATGTCCTCTTTGCTCCGCTCTGCTCTGCTCTGCTGGTGAGATTTGAAAGTCTGGCAACTTTGTCACTTGCAGACAAGTCGGATTATGCCCGGCACTCCTCAGTGCCAAGGAAACGAAAAGTTCCAGCCAAAAAAAAAAAAGAGAAAAGGGAAGGAACGAAGAAAGTTTCCTTGACAAATTAGCGCGGGACAGAAGAAGTACAAGTTAAAGTTAAAAAACTCCTCAGATAAACTTATTTCCCACATGTGTAATGGTCCTCAACGGAGTTGTTGCTCTTTGGATTAGGTTAACTCATCCGCCGCCAAGCAACCAAGCAGCCAGTTATCGGCAGATTGCCACATATTTAGAGCTCTACTTGTTGTTACTTTCCGTACTTTCTTTTCTTTTATACTCAGTACTCGAAGAGTTGAGGGATATGGATCCAGAAGGAAGTGTTTCCGACCATATGAAGAATATGTGTATTCTTATTCATCATCAATAGGCCGTCCATCTGTCTCCCGTCAAATGAGGTAAATCTGTGGCACGATCCTCACCATATCTACAAGATCGGAACATTATTTAAGGCAGAATGAAGAAAAGGCATTGCAGTGTGCATTCACTCATTCCCTCTTTCTCTCTCTCTCTCTCTTCCTCGTCTAGTGGGCGCCCCCTGGCGGGTACCGCGTATAGCGGTAGAGCCTCAGCCCTTGCCGCGGCTCAACACGTTCTCGCTGGTTTTCCTTTCACAAACGATTCTTGTACACTTTTATTGCAAATTGAATCGCCTGTGGCACGTCTTTGGCCACTTTGTCAATATAAAACTGCCGCCATAGAAAAAGTTTCTATATGTGGAGTATGGGTGCATTGAATGTGCATGAATACAGGGTGATCTTATGGAAAAGAAGCTACCAATCAAAGCTTGGAAAGCTTCCTGAAACTTCTCAGGCAACCCTGTTTCTAAGACGAAAGTTTACCCAGCTCTGAGCAGTTTTCTTGGACATAAAATGCAGCTGCAACTGTGGCAAGGCTGGACTGCAACAAAGAACTTTCTGTTGCCATTGTTATTCTTGCCCTGGTCAGACCTGGTCGTTGCCCTTTCCAGTGCCATTCTCAAAGCGATTTGAGCGATGTGGTGACCCAGTGAGTTCACAAATATTCGCACCATCCGGCCCCTGCACACCGCATCAGCACATGGTTCCGGTCGGGGTCGAGGGTAGGGGTAGGGGTCGCGGTCGGAGTCGGAGTCGGGAGACTGGTGCGGATTTGCCGGGCATCATTTGTCAATGTCGTCCGCGCCCTGGGCGCTGAGCACACGCAACCTCCATATGCTCCATCTCCATATCCATAGCCGTATACTCCTGTGGCATGTTTGGTTCGCGTAAGTCCTGCGAATTGCTGGATTTCCATGGCATTGCATGAAATTTATACACATCTGCCACCTGTCCGACTGTCTGCCGTGCTACCAACTGCTTTTGTGGGCCAGCACAGGAGTATACTGCTCCTAGTGAACTTCTGGGCATCGTCGCATCGCTTTTATTATGCAGCACATTGGGAGTTGGCCCCTCCCTCCGGCTCTGGCTCTGGCTCTGGCTCTGCCCCTCCTCTATGTTCATGCCGCTCCTGGTGGCATAACTAACCGCAGTGCCAGCCCAGCCGCTGCCTTGCTGCCTTGCTGCCCTCTAATTAAACGCCTTTGAAATTTGCTCCTCTCATTGAGGGTCGACTTTGAATGCATTCAACCATTTAATTGATGCTGTTCTTTGCCATCTAATTGCCTTGATGATTGCCTAGCAGATGATTGTCGACGGAGATGCAATTCCCAATGCAATGTGCGGTTTCACATCCCCTCCCCTCCCCCCCATTTGTAGCGTAAGCGAAATTAGCTTTCGATATTTTCTTTTTGTGTAAGCATTTCCCACAAATGTTTACTGGTTCAATATTTAAAAAAAATTCAAGCTTTAATCACATATTTTGTACTGGGGGATGTTTTTCCTAAGGATCACAATCTGTCATAGAAGTGTCTGATGCCAAGGCTAGCCGAAACACTCAACGAAGGGCACAAATAGGTTTAAAGGCTGAAAGCCGCAAAAGAGCACAAAACCCAGAGACCCGAGAGCCGAGACCCGAGAGCCAGCAGCAGGCAAATGAACTGGCTCGCGAATAGCGTAAAGACTGGGCCAAAACCGCTCAAATGTTATGGCTAGAAGGGAGCCGCAAAAAGTCATTATCTTAAATATTTGACATGCCATCCAGACCCGCACGATGGCGGCCCACAAAAGCAATTAACAATAAGGTAAGGGCCAAGTCCAGGCCAAACAGTTCAAGGGTTCAAAGATCTGTTCGTGGCGTATCCCGAAAAGTATGCAGCACGCAAAAAGTGTGAGCGTTGGGGGAAAGCGAAGGAAAAGTGAAAAGCTAAAACGCTGAAAAGCTTTCTCCCGGCGTGCGTGCATAATCAATGACATATGAGGCACCAAAATGCTATTCAACAACAGACAAAAGCAATCTGCCACCTCCGAGTGGCAGTGGAAATGCAGATCTGAAAATTATGAAATGAAAACTTTCCCTACCATCCTACCATCCCACCATCCCACCATCCTGCCATCCTCCACGCGCTGTGCATATCTCGAGGACAACTTTTGGAAATGAATTTTTTATGGGCGCTCCACTGGCGGCGCCTGAGGGGAGTAGTGCCCGTCATATCTGCATTTGCTTGGTGTGCATTTTTTGGGATTTTATCAGAGAGGGTAAAGAGAGAGAGAGAGAGAGAGAGAGTGCTGCAACTTGCAACTTATGCCACACACTGCCCCAGATGGGAGGCCCCCGAGGTCTCTGCTGCACGGGAATGTGAGTTGGACAAGTTGGTAAGTGGCAGCAGCATCTTGAGAACTGTTTGGGGGGGGGTGGGATGTTCTGTTCTGCACACAAAAGTGAAACTATCTGGGATGGAAAGCGCCTTCTTACGGAAGATTAAAGGGCATTCAGGTATGAAGCCCAACGGGACATTCTTCCTGCAAGCTGGAGATCTCATTAAACCGGCAACACAGGAAATAAAGTGTACCCAAGACTTCTCCAGAAGCAGACTCTTTCAAAGTTCTAAAGTCCCCCCCCCCACAAAGAAAACAAATAAAACGCTTGTCGAATTGATTTTGGAACTGAAACAAGCTTCAGGCGAAAACAAAACCCGACCCGAAACAGTTGACATTTGAAGTTCATCTCCGAATATCATGGGTTTTTCATCGCTGGTGCAAGCCTTGATGCCAATCACCGCCTTTTTTGGTGGGAGTAAGTCCAAGAACCAAACACAATGACCCAATATTCCTAATATTCGATGAGAAGAGTGTGGTAAATTTCAGAAGAAAGTGAAAGGCAGTAACCGCCTTTTGCTCGCCTACAAGTGCGTCTGCAAGGACGGCTACGTGCAGAGCGGTAACGATGGATGCGTTGCCATTCATATTCCGCCGTACACCAAGCCGAAACGGAAAAAGTCAACCACAACAATGAACACGGCCGGAACAACCACAAGCACCAGCACCACAAAAAGCGACAGCACCACAAAAAGCCACAGCACCACAAAAAGCGACAGCACCACAAAAAGCGACAGCACCACAAAAAGCCACAGCACCACAAAAGGCCACAGCATTACGATAAGCCACAGCACCACGAAAAGCAACAACACCACCACAGGGACCACCACAGGGACCACCACAGGGACCACCACAGGGACCACCACAGGGACCACCACAGGGACCACCACAGAGACCACCACAGGGACCACCACAGGGAACACCACAGGGACCACCACAGGGACCCCCACAGGGACCACCACAGGGACCACCACAGGCACCACCACAGGGACCACCACGAATAGTAGGACATCATCGAGCAGCACATCTTGGTGGCCATCCTGGCTAACGACAACCAAGCCGATGCCAAACAAAAACGACGACGTAGAGCCAAGAACCAAGAAATACGAGAATGAGATCTGGAGCACGTCGGAAGGACCTTATTATTTGGATGGGACCGATTTCACTATTCCCGAGGCCACCACTGTGTCAATGCCAATCCGTAAGCGAAACGATTCCACAAAAATGCCCACGGCCAGGGACTAAATAAACTTTTCATTCAGATGTGATGAGCATCGATGCAGCCAGCCCCAAGACTACGCCACTTAGTTGGCAATGGCATTATCTTGTGGCAGGAGATCAATAATTAAGAGAGAGACTATAGGACATATTTTAGACACATTTCCGTACATTTTCCGGTTATTAAACCCATCATAAAGTCCGTAGAGTGTATAAAGTGTATACTCTGTCTGTTTGACCGACAGCACAGCTCCAGTTGAGGGACTTAATTGAAACCCAAGCAAATAAAACATGTTACCTCACACGACTAATCCCCAAAAAGGTTGAGTGCGCAATTAACAGACAGTCAGACAGTCCCGTTGCCGGACTGCCAGAAGCCTCAACCATTTCTGGCGAAAAATGTGAAATAAAATAAATATTGACAGGCGAGAGTCGGCTGTCGGTTGATTTATGTGGCATGACTCATGAGCGTGAAAGTGTAACTGGAACTGGAACTGGAACTGGGACTGGGACTGGAGCTGAGACTGAGACCGGTCTAGATTTATATGGTATATGGTGCCGGTGCTGACCAATCTGTCTGTCCCCCGACAATTCCCAGACACGGGGGCAAACAGGCCAAAAGGAAAAATTGGAAACTTCAAGCACTTGGCCCATTCATGGAATATAATATGGGGAAGGCACCGCACCCGAGAGCACACCGAGTACGTTGAACCCTCGAAAAGAGACAAAATAATATACAAGTACATGTACATATGTTTGTAGTAATACCCTCCTTCCCATAAAGCGAATGCAAATGAGTGGGTGGGTGGGCCACAGATTTGCTACGCTTTGCGTTCACTTCTTTTTTTGCCAGATATGAGTACGCATATGAGTGCGGGTTGGTGTACTCGTATTTCGGTCACACAGAGACACAGTGGGTGGGGTGGGGAGGGGGACCGGGACCGGGACCGGGACCCCATTCACTTGTGCCTGTCAATCACTCTCCGACTCTCTGACAGGAAAAACGGCAGACCAGAGGCATTCAACAGCACACGTAGTACGACCATCCATCCATCCATCTATCCATCCATCCATCCTCATTCCCATCCTCATCCTCATCCTCATCCTCATCTGGCTGCCAACGATGCGACGATGAGACAAACATTCCCACATTTGATTGACAGACTAAAACGCTCCGTCCAACGTCTGGTACAAGCGCAATGAAAGACCGAAATACTAGACCACTTTTTATATTCATACGTGTGTGAATTTCTTTATAATTAAATTTAGCAGAATTCTCAATTATTTATGCCCAATTAAATTGTATTCAGAGACGAACAAATAAAAAAAACGTAAAGCACCAAATTAATGACTCAATTATTAATTGGCTTCATTAAATTCTAGAAATACCCGGACTAAACACCTACTAAATATGCCAAATGCATATTTCATGTCTGTGCCACCACTCCAGACCCCCCAGGCCCCAGGCCCCAGGCCCGAGACCCCCAGACATACATAAATGTGCAGAAATATGTGTCCAAACTATTAATTAATGTTCTCTGTGCATGATTATAATTTTTTTATTTTTAATGCCATGCATTTATTTTACTCTCTACGCTCAGATTATTTGCATTTGCCATAATCCATGCTGGCAAGAATGGGGCACAAATTTAATGTATCATTAATTTCAAGTGTCCAAGTGTGTCTATCTTTTTGGCTGGCCGAAAGAGTGGAAGAACGCAAAGACATTTTGCATTTCTGTGACTAGAGCCGCAAATATTTATGTATTCGAATGTTTTTATGGAAATTTACACACCATAATGATCGTCGGGGATAAGTAAAAACCTGTGGGTTTCGGACTTCCGCAGAAGGCGGCCTAAAGAGATATTCTACTCTATCGAATTACCCCTTATTATCCTCACTTCGTTCATGGAAAATGCTTTCAAAATTCCAAAATAGCTTTATGTTGAAACTAATCTATTAGAAAATAGTTTTAAAATTCGTATACATATATTTTCGGTGTGTTAATTATCTTTAAAAATAATTATATATTCCTGCCAGTATTTAATGGAAAATACCTGTGGATAATTCACACGCAAAATTGTATACAAAATACTCCCCAAAGGCAATCAATTTATCTGCATTGATATTTTGTGCGCAATTATGTTTTGCCAGTTGATAATCAACTAATTCATTATAGAATACATAATATCCAACAGCATTTCCCTGTGTAATCATTTCTCACTCTCTGCAATCGTTTGGAAGTCATTTAATTTGCATAATGCTGCCCCTGTTTTTCGATATTGCTGAATGAGTAAATTACAAAAAATTACCATTTGGTACATTTATTCCCTTCGCTATTAATTAGCTGGTGGGGTTGGCTTTTATAATTCCTTAATTGCATCAAATTATTAGCAGTTGGATAGGGATCTCTCCACATACATATACATTACATACATATGTATGCATATTAATGTGTGTCCGAATACGTATACGACTAAGTGTCCCACGCACAAGAAGTTCATTAAAAATTCATTCGGGCTCCCGACTTTTCCAACTCTGATTATTTTTCACCGAGTTTATTGAGTTGCTGAAAGTCAATTTTCGGGAAAATTGAATTTATTTCTATGGAAAATGGATACAAAAAATATGTGAAAACTATTCGGATCACACTTAACGTGGATGTACTCTTTCGGAGAAAGAAAAGAAAAAAGGACTAAGTTTCTCTGAATTTTATTTATGGGTCGTGGCATTGTTCGCTTTTATATTCCTTCAATCTGGTTGATTCCTATATCCTATTACATGCTACAACCGCAGCACACGCATACAGGTGGTTATCCTGCCTAAGAATATTTACATTATTTATACAAAAATAATACAAATAAATACATAAAATTATAAAAATCAAATGATAAAATTATGTTAAATTCAAACTTTTAGAAGAATTAGAATTATAATGGAGGAATAGGTGTTCATTCTGACCGAGAATAGATTTCTATTATTTATATAGAAATTAAATGCACAGAAATAACTTTCAACATAAAAATAAAACTTAAAAAAAAAAAATATATAAACTGTTTTTAATTAATTAATAAACTTGTATTAAAATTGTCATAAGAATATGAATGTCTAAGTCCTGGATTTTGTTAGTAAATAATTTTCTCTACGAATTCTTTTAACGCTGAAATATGCATATGTAGATATATGGCTTATGTCCTGCACTAATACCCTCTGAAAGGGTATAGAAATTAATAGAATTTATAAGTAAAGTTTGTGCCCACCGAAAAACTTTCGCACAACAGAGACAACCACAAAAAGGACCAAGACAATCCGTGGTCTGGGCTGGATGGTTCGAAAATGATAGACTGACCTTGATATACGATGGTGTGTCCTTATGTGTCTGCATTCCCAGACGCCTTGGCTGGGAAAACCACGGGCCACGGAAAACTTTGCCCGTCTGTGACTAAATTCCTTCTTAATTCAATCAGCCGAGACACGTTTTAAAGTCGATGCTGATTTAATATTCTGTGGGAGCGAGATATTTAAAAGTAAACTTTAATAATCTGCTGACGGCACTAATTGCTCTCGACATGCTCGGGAAATGCCTTGGCCGTAATTCAATTACGGACATTAGTTTTGGCTGCAAAAATTCCCTTTGGCTTCTGGCTGCTGGCTGCTGGCCGCATAAATAAAGACTCGAAACCAGAGGGAACTTTGTGTTCTTGTGGTTGATCATTTAATTTAAAGTTTTTTTTTCGGAGGACAACTTTCGGGATTTGAGAAATGGTAAACAATAAACAGCTTCCCTTTACGGACGGCACTTTAAGCACTTTTCAGTGTCAGCGGAAACGGAAAGACGGCGCATTGAGGCAACAACTAGACAAGTGACGGAAGTTCAGACCGGGACGGGATTAAAAGTTTTGCTCAAACGGCGAAACTAAAGCCCGGCTCAAAGGGAGACGACAGTTGACGTATTTTTGCAGCTCTCCTCTTCTCTTTCGCTCTCTATTTTGGCCTATGATTGGATATGTTTTCCCTTGGCTTTTTGTCCAGCCAACTTTATTTGCTTGCAACTGAGAAACTTAAACCCGCTCCACATGGAAATTATTTCAGCAGTTTTTCCCAGAAGTTTCGGTGCTAACAAAAACTGATAGTTTGATATTCTCCTAATGACTCGGACAGAGAATATTCGCCCAAGTTTGTGCGCCAGGTGAAATGCTTACCCTGCCACTGCCAAAGTCCAGAGCAATTAGATTTCAGTGCTGGAGGCGGGAAAAGCTCCAGACTCCGAGAGAAGACAAATGGTTCAAGTTCTGGGCAATGATTTATTTAGTCTATAAACGTAGGGGGGATGTTAAGTTCAAAGAGATTCAAATCGGAAGCATAATTATGTTATGGAATTTTCATTTTGGTATTCAAGATTAAGCCAAGGTATCTTCAATCATCAAATGTGATTAGACCGCATAGAACACATACGATATTTTGCAATTTCCAATTATTTTCCATTTTCCTACCTGCAATTAGGCACAATATAATCAATCAGTAATCGAAGACCATCCCCACCGAACGGCCTGTCCAACTCGCATTCAAATCTAATCATTTCTTCCCCAGTCCCCAGTCCCAGTCCCCAGTCCCAGCTCTAGTCAAAGTTCAATCAGGCCGCCCCCCAAAAGCTAACAGAGCTTTAACAGTGCACTGTTAGGCGCTAACAGCCAACGAAAGTGAGAGTTCGTGCTCGTATAAGAGAGAGAGAAAGTGCCCGCGCGACAGTGGAAGAGAGAGAGAGAGGAACGAGCGAAAGCTGTTAATTGAAGGAAATTGCAATGCGAGCCATGCCATGCCATGCCATGCAGCCAGCAACAACAGCAACAGCGACGGCGACGGCGACGGCGACAAAAGCATCGCCGAACCGCAACACGCATCAGGCCAATCGGGCGACGAACCTGAACCCGAAGGAGGCGGCGAGCTTGTAACTGTATAGCCGACCGAGCGGCGACTCTGCACTCGTCTCTCGCATTGCACCGCAACGAAATTCGCCGGCAAGTGCGGCACCACAGTATGCAAAACAAAGCCGAAACGTGCAGCAGTGGCAACGGCAGAAGACTACAGCACTAGCGAGGCAACGGTAAATCAGACAAAAACAACCGTTTGCGAAATACGCGCGCGAAAACCACACACAGAAGAGCCACCGCATCTGCGGGCGGGCGGATGCGTGTCTTCGACACGCTGGATGCGTCTTGAGGCAAATGCAAATTAGCAGCCAGAACGGCAAAAGAAAATACACAAAATAAGTGGCAGAATAGCAGCACCAGGAGCAGCATCCGAGCAGCATCGCATCACCAGCTAGTATTCTGCAACAGAATCCGCATCCGAAGAACATCAGAAATAAATCCGGCAAGAGGGAAGGCCAAAAGTGAAAAATAACATTAGAGAAATCGCGAGAAATTGCAGAAACGTTTGCCAAATATTTTGAGAACCTCAAAAAGTGCATCGTCGTGTGCCATTTTGTGGGGAATTTTCTCTGGGATAGATCTACCACCTACCCACCTACCCAGAGTATGATGGGATGATATCCAAGCGGGTAAGCCAACGGGTACCCCGAAAAATGTGTCCCTTCCAAAAAGGTTTCACCCTCTCGGAATTTATTTTTGTGTGTGTGGCGGAATTTGTCAGATAAACCCAAAATTTTGTGTGAATGGCCATTTGTAACTGTTGAATGTTGCGTTGTGTTTTTTTTTTGGGGGGGGTGGGGGGGTGGGGGGGGGGGGGGGGTTTCCCTGTCGGAATGAGGAATTGGTTTGCCTGATGATGTGGAAATTGAGAAACTGGAGGCCCGAAAAGATTTTTGGCAAATGAAATGAGATTTGAAAAATTACGGTAAGAGTAATGGGCTGAAAGGGAAACGAATCTAGTGATTGTTTGGACTCGAAATGGCCTCATATTTAAAGTAGAACTACAGAATGATTATTCGTAAGTATATTTGAGATCTTTTAAAAGCTAAAACCACAACGATATCAATGGAAAAGTTGTTCTAAAGAGTTTCCCAAAAATAATAAATAACGCAAAAAGCCACCAGCTACTACTACTACATATAAAAAACCCAAGCCCAGAAGAGATGAAATGAGCTCATCTACCAAAACCAAACCCGAACCCGAACCCGAACCAAACGCAACCCCAAACCAAACCCCACCCAAAGCAAAACCCAAGCAAAGCAAAGCCACCTAGCGCCCAATCAAAAGGCCGTTGCACTCTGCGACTAACTGAATGACGTGCGTCCGTTCATTCGCTTGATAGCTTGATGGGTTGAGTCCAAATGTGGGGCAAGCAGCCAGAGACAACAATGGGCATGGGTGAACGAAGGGCCAGTCATGGAGGCGGAAGAACTGGCGGAGCAGCTGCTGCTGGTGCTGCTGCTGGTGCGACTTCGCAGGGCATGTAATTTGTCAGACAGATTTCTTTCTAGCGCCAGGACCACCCAAAAAAAGACCCCCAACCCGGGACCGGCCCACATCATTGCAACAAAACTGCTTCCTTCCTGGCATTCGGCAAATGCTGTCCGGAGTCCGGACTCCGGAGATGGAAGAGGGAATGTGTGGGCAGTCAGAGAGGGCGAGGGAGTAAGTGAGAAGAGATGAAAAAGCAACAGACATTGACATTTCAGTGCAAATGAAGTGATAAAAAGTAAAGGCAAAGCGGCGTCAGCTCGAATATTGCCACAGCAAAAGCAAAAAAAAAAGCCAATGGAGAAAGGGCTAGAAGAGGTGGTGAGCTAACAGAGAGAGAGATAGACGAAATAGCCAAAGGCAATAGGACACTAACAGGGAAAGAGAGAGAGAGAAAGAGAGAGAGATAGAGAGAGAGAGGAGGGAGGAAAGGAAACACAGACAAAGCGCGTTGAAAATGCGTCTAATTTGATGGAAGCGATGCATGCCTTAACCTTTCGCCTCGGCGTCAGGCAAACAGACAACAACAAGAATGATGGCGTTTCCTTCCATCTCAAAGGCAGCTTTGGATAAGAAAGAGCAAGTGTTGGCGGTGGGAGGCGGGTAGGTCTAGAGACCCCATGATTCAAATGGTAGAGCAAGTGCCAGAGATGCTCCACCAACTCTTGAGATGCCGCTGATGCTTTCTTGGTAATTGATGGCTAAAGAAGCATAAAATTGCTGCTTGATACTTCAAGAGGGACTGTGGGAGAGAGAGATCTGATTCTAATATATATTTGAGAACCGCCGGCTCACTCGCTATATATTTACCTTTATTTATATAATAAAGAATAATAATAATAATAAAGAAACTTTTAGCTACCCAAAGACCTCCTTTATGTGGTATAAAACTTTCCTTTTGTTCGGGGAAACAATTACGTCGTAACTTTCGATGACTAGTGGGTAAAAGTGATCCCAAACATTTCACGAATAATTGATTGAATTTTAGAGACCATGTCACGCTCGTCATCGATGAAGTTTTCTCCTGCTGCTAATTAGAGAATTTTGTATAATTATTCATCATAATTGACAACTCTCTGGTTTTAGCCACTCATCACTTGTGGATGGTATCCCCGACCCACCATTTCCCAGCGTCCACAAAAACTTTGAACTTTTGTGCAGCATCAGACGAGAGAGAACAGAACATGAAGGGAACTTTTGCAATTAATTACGGACAAGAACCTTAAACAGGCGGAGGGCGGGGGTTTGGGGCTAGGGGTGGGGGCACAGACGTTAAACTTAACCTATAAAAAAAAAATTAAAATAATAAAAAAGAACGAAATCTAAGCGCAGGAGATAAGATTAGCTGCGTGTAGAAGAGGAAGATAGAGATAGGGATAGGGATAGGGAGAACAGCTGTAGATATCATATCCAACTGTGTCACGCCCCCCTCTGAATTGGCCTACATAAAGAGAATTAATGAGTGCGTCGAGGGAAATGGAGATGATGGAAGGGAGACCAAACGCATCCACATCCACCACATAATGATAGATGAGTTAATGAGGACTTAGCCATGGCTCCATCTGGGCCAAACGACGGCAAACTGTCAATTAATGTGAGCCAACAGTTGGCTGTGATGATTAGCCATGGCACAAAAGAGAGGAAGCGAAAGGAGGGATGAGAAAAGATGATGCGGGAATGCGGGCAAGTAAACTATGTGTTAAGGTGCTCCATAAAAGTCCAGCAAGTTCAGCAACTCCAAAAGAAAAATATCTCAAAAAAAGCTTAAAAAAGAATTGTGGGTAGAAAGAGGCCAAGACCAAGACCAAGACCAAGACCAAACTTTGCCAAACCATCCAGAATGTTGGGGGGAAAGTTGCCGCAGAATTTCAGAATGCTTTTTGCCTCAAGAAATACTTGATGCGCATGTGCAACATGAATGTTGGGGCACATAGAAAACTAATAATAAGACCTGCCTGTCTTCTTTAGAGAACCTGCCGCAACTTTTCCTCTGCTGCAATATTGGTTGCAACTTCCTTTGTCTGTTTTTGTGCCACAGTTTCAGCCTTCACCCCACCAGCAGGCATAGACAGGCATGATTAATGTTCAAATTAAACGAGGACGCAATGACGTTAATGACGACAAAAGAGTAGCAGCAGATAACAGGAAAATCGCACAAAAACAGCAACAAAAAGATAATGTGATGTGTGGGATATACACAAAAAATAGTAAACAAATGATTAGACTGGAGGGTGGGGAGGGGGGGTGGCTCTCACTCAATGTCGCATCTGGGGGGGTAAACAGAGATATCAAAATACGTGAAATATTGGCAAAAGATGAGTATCTGCAAATCTATAATTGACTACGAATGCAAATCAACTAATCAATCAGGGCCCCCTAAGGATTTGAGCCAAAAAGATATTTAACTCCATTTGACGTGTCGATCGATTTCGTTATGCGGACGGATACCGTTTCGTAATTCAATTAGCGTCCGATTTTCTGGCAATGACACAACTCCGTCACGGCTGCCCTGCAATATTGATTGAATTTCCATAGAAAACTGATACAAAAGAGAGCACAAAGCACACAGGCAAACAGCACACTATTCAGGGACCTGGTGTTGCAAAATGTATTTAATAAAGAGCATGATTTAGTGTTAATTGGAGAGTGTCCAGTCCCAACAATAGAGCCGGTGTGTGTTGGTATTTTTAGGTGGATTATTGAGGGCAGTTTCTAGGCCGCACAGCTGTTAAGTATTCCAGAGACCGAGACCCCGCACCGAATCTGTTATAAAGCAATCAATTTAAATGCGAGGATAAAAAGTTCATCATTTTTATGATTTTCATGGCTTCTGGTTAATTGAACCCATAAAATGGGGAAAAACAACAGCAACGGCAACAACAATTCCGTTATATTCCGTGGCCATGGCTGCTGCAAAACACACATTGAGAACACACTCCGATCCAATGAGCGAAAGGAAGGCCAGAAGGGGAATGCGATGAACAGATGAGAGCAGAAAAACCGAAACCGAAACCAAAACCAAAAAGTAAAAGCATCATCGGGCTACCAAACACAACAATAATTACATTGAAAGACGCACTAAAATGCAGAATTGGCAAATTTTGTAAACAAAACGTAAATGGCAATTGTTTGGGGAGAATACGGCCAGCAGATACTCTACGCAAAGATATCTGGAAGATACCTCAAAGCTCTGACAACTCCTCTGTCTGTGGGGTTTACCCTCGGCCATTATCGAATAATAAAACAACAAGAATGAGAACTGTTGATGACAGAATGGCAGCTGGGAAAAACAAAAACAGTCAGCAAATCAATTGGCCATTCATGTTGCCTAATTGCATTGCGGAACCGAGCCACAAACAGTTCTAATAGTATCTGAGAATCGGTCGGTCGATTGAGCGCTTGCCCTTTTTTTGCAATCAACTTGATTTCTTTTCTGTTTTCTTTTTTCTGCTTCCCCAGATTTATCCCATTTATCTGCGCACTTCTTGAGCATTTTATTTATTTATTTTTGCTGAATGGTCAGCAGCAACACGTCGGGCACATCAAAAGTGGCGAAGAGAAAGCCTTTGCTGTTTCCCGGCTACCATATTATTTACCTAGGTAATGGCATTTGCTGATGACGATGACGATGACGATGACGATGATGGCAGCAGTAGCAGTTTGTGTGATTAACTCCGGCAAAAAAGGAACTCCCATTGAAGTCAGAGGCCTCGACTGACTGACTGACTGGCTGGCTGGCTCTTGTCAAGTGTTTAGCAAATAGCCAAGGCAAGAAGGAGTGCTCCTTCTCGTTGCCGTTCCCGTTCTGGGGAACATTCAATTGAAGTGCAAACAGGGCGTATGAATGATGTTGATTGGCTGGAAATAATTCAATTCAATTAAATTGCTGCTTTTGTAACTTTAAAGTTACAGTGAAAACTCTTTGGCCACAATTTTCGGACAGCATCCATAATGCACGTAAAAGCCAAACCGCTCGGCCAACAAAGGATTTTCGATTTGCCACGCAATTAGTGACAATCCTTGGGCGCAGCATGGCCGGCATTTACATGGGCAGGGATTCGTTGACCCGAAACGACATATGCAACATAATCCTCTATCTATGGGGGGGGTGGAGGAGGAAGAGCAGTTCAATTATTGT